AACAGTGTCGTCGGCTGATCTCCCAAACGGGCAGCCTAGGACAGCCGTTCCTCTAACATATGTTTCACCCCACTGATTTGTGATAAGTGAGAAAATATGCTTGGCAACAAAAACCATTATTTTCCTCACAACTGGGATTAGACCCAATAGTTTATTGCAAATATAGCATGGCAAGTTGGACTCAGAGGAGAATCCAATTCTTCTACAAATATGGAATACACTAATAAGGCCATTTGACTCTGTCGTGGTTTAGCCAAAACCAGGTCAGACTCCCAATTTCTTTTATTTCCCCCTTCAGACTATTCATGTGCTGTCTTCACCAAAGGCCCAGCCCCCTTCACCACAGAATTCTCTCTTATTTATTTTCTAGTGCTTTGTCATCATTTTTCAACAGTACACGCTGCTTCCCTTGGAAGAGCCCTCACACACATACCTAACGCACCGCTAGCCTGGATTCATTATTAAAATGCCAAGCGGGCCATGACACCAACCAAACCCACCTGCCCCAGGCCAGGCAGCTGCCAGCACAGCCCCAACAGCGGCCAGAACTCCCCAGGGCGGAGATACTCAAGGAGCTGGGCTCAGCCTCCATGGACAGTTACGTGTGTATGAAGATAGGCAGGGCAGAGCCCCGAGAGCCCACACGGTACGACGTGCCCGTGGGATGCTCCCGCTCCCCGGCACGGTGCTTTTCATCTGCCCCTTTCACCCCACTCCACAGCCAGCTCCCACCGCTGACACGGTTCAGCAGCGGCGGCAGAGGGAACCGAGGGACAGTGCTGCCCAGAGGAGCATCCATCTTGCCACAGCTGAATCCAGGCCAAGGCTTCGGCGGGTCCCAACAGTGACACTATTCAGCTTAAGCAGCCAAGGAACTACAAAGACCATGGACTAGAGCATCTCAAACACAGAGCTGCCAGCCGTGTTTTCTCCTTCCTGCCGCGCAGATCCCCCGGGCACCAGCCTGAGGGTACCCCTGGGGTGGTGAACGCCTGTGAAAGCTTCAGGAAAGGAACTGAGCAAACAGCCCAAAGCAAGCAAAGAAGCCTCCCTCCTTCCCTTACATGTCATTATTAACAAGCCTGCCTAGAAAAAGTCGAGATGTGGCTCTTAGTAAAACAAAGAATGAGACAAGTCTTTTATCCAAAACTAGAAGTTTCAGATTTAAAAAGAGAGCGAGAAAACCACTTCTCTCAAGTCTGAAAACAATTTATGTGGCATTAGCACTTTTCATACAGGTTTTCAGACGTGTCTTTAATCCCCAGTCTAAGGGAATGCATCAGGAGCCAGCCTGCTCCCGGACACAGCACCAAACCAAAGGCACTTCCACCAAACAGCCCCGGTTTTGCCTTCGTACCCATACTGAGCCCTTACATCGTTACTTACTGGGCTGTAAGGTAACCTCTTAATTTGTAGCTACTAAAAAAGGAAGTGAAAGTGTAAGAAATTAGATCTTGAATTGAGTGACTTCTTCCCTCCTGGGAAACCCCCTGCCCTAGAGGGAGTCCAGGGCAGGGTGTGGGGAGGCCTGGGGGCAGCATCCCCCAGGAGGAAACATGGGGTTTGGAAGCCCTGACTAGCAGCTCAGGGCAGCCCGGATTAGGAAAATGCCACCTTCGTTTTGCTACTAACCAAGCTGGTTTCTGGACCCTGCCCAACCCCCTGCTCACTCACCCCTCGCTCCTGGGGGTAGGGGGCACAGCCAAGTCCTGGGTTTCCTGCAAGCCTGGACCAAGCGTCCCGGCGCGCAACAGGCTCCCTACCACACCTGCAGGAAAAAAAGTGGCCAAGCCATGAAGAAAAACTCCATTTCTATAGGGATGTTTGCATAAACAGTTTTAAACAAGCAATCCTTCCCTTCAAATTAACTCCAATGGAAACAACATGATAGAAATGAACCGGTTGTGCTGGTACCCTTGAGAGCAGGGCACCTAGAGAGTAGGTGCTCAAAGTCGCGTGCCCCATTGGGCCCGTGTTATAACAACTAAATACCTATTGCCCGAAAAGCTTCACAAGCAGCTGTGCCACTGCTGCATGGGGAGGGGAAGGTGAAACCCTTGCAGCTTCTCCTCCCAGCAATGCACCAGCCAAGCAGGAGGTTACTGCCTTCTCCTGCTGACTTTGGCAGCAATGCAACTGGAACACGCTAGCTCACAGCTTAGTTTTCTCCCTCCTGCTCTCTCCAGTTACCTACACATTTTGTTTCTAATGAGACTCCCCTGAAAACGCAACTCACCTGCAGAAAAATGAACAGGTAAATAACTCAGTTCAGCTATTTTCCGCTGGCCCCGTTTCCTGGGCGCAGCAGCCCTGGCCAAGACAGGTACACACAGATTGTAGGGCAAACGGGTGCATACCAGGGTGCACTGTCTAGTGTTTCATTGTCCTTCATTAGGCTTTTTCCATTAACTTTTTAATACCGTGGTCAGCCCATCATATCAGTGGCTAAAAGAATTATCTCTGCGTGCATCACCTTTGAGAGGCCCAAGTGGAGTGTGGGTAAAAATGGGTTTATAATGGCTTTCTAGCCACCTCCATGGAGCGTAATTCCCGTCTACCGCACTGCATTCCCGAAACAGCATCCTGGTGCAATCCCTGAGGGCTGGGGCCTCCTGACCCCACAGGAACTCAGCCAAACACACAGAAGCTGAGGCAAGGGCAGCGTTACCCTTTTCATGAAATCGGTTTCCTCCTTTATCCCAATATGAACAAGCTTTACACCACCATAAGTAACTACTGGTCAGAAGGGTTCAGTGAGGCATTCTTGCTTTCCCTGGCAGAGAAGGCAGTGCCTTTGCACTGGGACAACACACAGCAGCTTTCTGCAAAGCAACACAAGCCAAAGGGTCCACCGTTGTGACACTCCAGCTCTCCCAAGCAGAGGCACCGTAACGTGAAACACCACCAGCGGAGGAAGACCTGCCAGCCAAGTCTTCCCACACCCCTCCCCAACAGTGTGCAGAAACCAGACCAAGAATCTGGACAGACCAGAGCAGATAGCAGCACATGGTCTGGAGAAACATCAAGAGCTGGAGGAAACACCAGAGTCATTGCTCATGGCCACCTCGCTCTCCACTCCTCTCCAGGCCACTGGGTCCTTGTTGACGCTTATGGTAGAAAGCGACCAGGTGGTAAGAGGAGAGACACGGAGGTGGATGCCAGAGTAGAAGAGTTGTCCCACCTCCTTTCCTCCACCAGCACAGTGTACAACCCCCCCTGCACTGAGGATTCAAGCCATACAACACAATGTGCAGCTACTCAAGGCCTTAACGCAGCATGTAAATGGGACCTAATAGAGAAGAGACCTTCCACTGAGGTGTGTTTGAACCCCAGTGGGTCAGACCACCTGATTCGGAGATTTATGGCAATGCCTCATTTCAAAGGGGGCTCTCACAGCACTGGTGTGGCTGCTCTGCTCTGAAGGCAGTGTTTTGCAGCCTCTCCTAACTCCACATCAGCTGTGAAAGAAACTCTAAGGCAGTGCTTTGCAGCCTCTAACTCCACATCAGCTGTGAAAGAAACTCTTCCTCCCCACCTTTTCTTCTTTTTAAATGGAGCATAGACAAGTCACCCTACAGCATCCAGCACTCTTCTCAGGAAACCACTGTAGCAAGTGCAACAGGTTAGGCCAGATTTAAGAAAACTCTGGGTTTTTTTTTTTGTTTGTTTGTTATTTTTCACATTGATGTTCAAAATGCAAATGAAAAAAGTCGTAAAATTTCAAAAACAAACTGAATCATTTTTTGCTTTTACACTTTAAGAACACAAATTAAGAAGGCATCCTTCATGAGAAAAGCAGATGTAGGAGTAGAACAAACCTGATCAGAAATAGGTTATGATCTTCCAGTACTCTCTGGTTAGAGCTAACACAGCTATTTCCATTTTACTGTTCACTGGCACTTCAGAGAGGGGAATTCCATCTCACTAGAAATGATACACCAGAATTCATTTATCTTTCTAGGTCATAAAATATCTTCCTAGATGACAAACAAGCCTACTCCCACAAAATAATTAAAGACAAAATGCAACTGCTAAGACAGCACAGGCTTCCACTGTAGGAGGCTGTACATGAACAAGGTTTGTCTCACCCAGACATCTGCTGTTATGCAGGACCTGTAATCAAAGTCATCAGTGGCTTTTAAATCAGTCAGTGGTGCAGTGAACAAAAGGAAAAAAAAGAAAACCACAACACTGATGCAATGACGACTTTTCTCTGACCTATACACTGAAAATTTCATCAACAAGGGGCATCAACTTTTCCCTAAGAAACCTCTCAAATCAAGTTAGTCCTGGTTTAAGCAGATACCACGCTTATGAGAGCACTGAATTTGGCTTAAGACTTATGTAACGTCCGCTTCCTATGGCCGAAAGGTGTTGTCAACAAGCCTGTGAAAACATTTCAAAGCAGCCACGAGGCAGCACGGCCAGGGAAGAGCTTCCAGCAGCGCTGCCCTGTCCCGTGCCTCCTCACCCCGTGTACAGCACCAGGCTGAGCCGCATTCCCAAAGTCCGCGTGGTGATCCCAGCTCAGGCTAGACGGAGCAAGAAGGGACCCACACGACGTGCCCTGCCTGCTGCGATGGAACAGCTTAAACCATGATCTCACCCGCAATCCCTGCCAGACGCAAGCCCTCTCCCCAGACACAGTAATAACTGACAGCAGAACTGTCCCGGTTCATGTACCCAGAATATTATCACTTTGGAAGTAGGAACACTGCTAAAAAAACAAGATTTTGCTCAAAAGAACATACTGGGACTAAGCCACAGCATGGCCAAGGTTGAACTATTTTGCTGAGCGTTCACCAGACGTTGTCAGTGGACCCCTCCAAGTCCCTGGAGGTGGTCTGCCCAGTCTCTTTCACACTCCAGCTCATAGGATGAAAGAAGTCTTCAAAAGCAACAGCAATTATTTCCATCAGCCTCTCCTCCCCATCATGACAGCACTCTACTAGTAGCAGCAGCAACACTGATGCTTCTCTTTAGGTCTGTCTGAAACGCACCGGAGACGCTCAGCCCAACTTCACCTGGGGAGATCCTCCTCGTACGAGACAGAGCAGCCCCTCGTTTTACGTAGGGAGCAAAGGAAGACGAGGGCAGCTTCTCGATGTCTGAAAACAAAAATCAAAGCTGAGGTGGCAACAATTAAGTCTTGAAATAATTAAAAATAAGCTGGGCAAGCACTTAAGAACAAAGAAGCCAAGGCTCTCCCGCCGAGAGCCACTGCGGCAGCACATCTCGCACATTACTCTTCACGTGCTCCCACTTCTTCTCCTTCTGACCCACACACATGACGGCGGCCGCTTCAGCTGGCGAGGTGGCAGCATTCATCATAAGCATCTGTAATCCAAACCTACAGAAGTTACTGACGGCATATTGCCCTTACAAACTGACTCTGGATGCAGGTTTGGAAATGGCCAGCCTGGCTCACAAAGAGGCACTACCCAGCAGCAGGAAAGGATAAGCGTTTCGGGTGAAGCAAAGCACCCAGTTTTCTTCCATTTGCACGCAACATCGCCAAGCTTGGACAACTCTGCCCTGCCTGCGTTCCTTGGACAGGAAAGGGAAAAAAACCAAAACAAACCAGTATTTATTCTTTACTTTAGCCAAGCTTCAAGACCAAAACTTTCCACAGATAAAGACTGTCTGACAACAAATATAATGGCATGTTGCAATTATGTTAAATTTAAAAACAGAAACAGAACTTCAAACCACACACACGCGCACTCCAGATGGAAAGCGTAAGCCCGCTGTCCAAGAGAGCCAACCGGCGGGAGCATCCGGACCAGACACCGACAGGCATTTCTGCTGTCAGCTGCAGCTTCCCCATGCTTTGGGAACACCAACCACAGCAGAGAGCAGCCACCTCCCCACGTGCTCTCAGCGTTAAACAAGGTGTCATCAGGGGATGCCTTGGTCCTTCCTTTCTGAGACCAAGGAGAAGGCAAACCTGCTTCCAGGAGAAAGGCCCTGCTTGGAGGAGGAAAGGCTGCCGCGCCGTGGAAGCAAGATGGAAAGCAGAAGAGGTGCCAGGAGCAGTATGGCTCACGCTACCTGGCTGCTATGCTTTATCACAGACAAAAAGCTCTTTTGATATTGCCTACTGACTATAAAAATTAGCAAAGGGAAATTATTTCTAAAAAAAAACAAACCAAAAAAAAAACATTTAAAAAGCTGAACTCCAGCTTTTTTTTCTTATTATCTTTTCCTAATAAGAAAGATAAAAGCTTATCTTTTCCTAATAAGAAAAACAAATTCAAGCATGGACAAAAAACACTCAGATAAATCCATAAGAAAAACTGGTCCTCAAGTGAATGTATTGCAAATTTTTCCATGGGGCGTCAGCAGCTCTCGCACGCTGTCTAAATGCCAACCCCTAATGAATTCAATGCGCTGATGACTACACTGTTTTCTAAAGAACTTGGCAAGATGTTCAGCATTATTAGAGGAGAGGAAAAACAGTGCAGAATTTAGTCACTTAATACCCTATCTTCCAATAACTGAAGAAACATCCCAGTCCCATTGAGGTAACTACGGACACTTCCTTCAGAAACAGGATGATGACACAGGAAGGACTGATGGGAAGAATGGCCAAGTCCACACGTTTGAATCCAGATTTCCCATTGGAAATATTTGGGGGTTAGAGTTGTTCTGAGACACATGCAGGATCCCGCAGTTTTCACTAGTCCCTCAAGAAAAGAGCTGGTTTTGTCCTGCCCCCAGCAGGGACTCGTTACTCAGAGCTTTGCCCGAAGACCGAGCAATCCCAGGTTAACAGCGATGCCAAGGGCCAGGTGCATGCTGGACAATGACCTCACACTAAATTTAGGAGTCATGGATCCCACCTTCCTAACTTCTCCCTGTTCGGGTGTCTTTGGCACAGACCTGTATTGGTTCAGTAACTCTTGATAGAGTATTTTTTCATTAATCTGCCCAGTCACTTGCTGGAAGGGGTGAACATCCAGCCTAGAGAGCAGCCCACAGCAGCAGCATCCCATTTCCATTGCCTTCAGCTTCCACCAGCCAGCAACACCGTCCTTTCAGGCAATACAGCTTCATACACAGAGATGGCCAAACTGCCAGAGAGCTTTCATGTTTTATTCCCATTCATAGAAACTGGGTCTCCAGCCTCCCTCGGCCACCTGAAGAGCTTCGCTCTGATCTGCAGGTTGTTGCAGCATTACAACCCAGCTCAGCTGTGGTGCACACCTTGACTGCAAATGCCATCGCTTCTCGCCCTCGGCCCCACTGCCCCTTCCTCAGCACATGATTGTCAAGAAGTCCATTGTAGCCGCATCTCCTCCAACCACATCTCTGTCAGAGCCACAGAAGTGAAAACGGAGACAGACGTAGACTCCAGCACAGAGCCCAGCTCTAGACATAGGTCCCACCACACTTAGTCTCACCTACAGACTGGGGCTGAGGACAGAACTTCTGCTTCCTGGTCCAGCTGCAGATCTGGTCTTCAAAGAGCAATTTTCAGCAACTGAGCAGTTGAAATCTGTATGGTAACATGAGTTTAACTTCACCATAAGGTCTCCTCTTCAATTTCAGACTCTAACAAGCTTCGGCCAAAGGTTTTATGAACAGTACGGAAAACCCAACCACATGATACCTTAAAAAAAACAAGTCAGGTCACTGAATTATCCAAGTAGAATAAAATTTCCTCCTTTTCAGAGTAAATAATTCTTTTTGGAGAATAATTTTCCTTCTTTCTTAACAAAAATTGCCATGTCAGTCAACCAGAAATGACTCAGGATTTTGCGACAAAATTCTGACACAAAGTATGTCTCAAAACCAGACCGTAACGCAGCAAGTAGGAGCAAGAGAGGGTCAAGTGCATGTTCATGTGCGAGTGTGAATGTGAGTGTGTGTCCCTTCTTCCAGTGGTGGGAATAAGGAGCCAGAACATCTGACCCCTACAGAGCACAGAGACCAGATTTACAGCATAAGCACAGGCAGTGGATTGGCAGATCTGATGGGGAAGGGTGTCCACCGTAACGAGAAAGGACAGTGCTTGCAACACTGCAGAACGGCCATACCTGACGGCCCACCAGGAGCACGCTGTGGGGCGCACAGGAGCACGGGCCGGGATGCCCCAGCGAAGGCAGGGGCAGGCAGGGACCGCTGCCCCAGAGCCCCCTCCTCCAGAGGCTTTGGTTTCAAATACACAAGATTCACAGCAGTGCAAGGGACAGCAGCGATGATGGTGGATGAAGCGGCTAGAGATAGGCATTTGAAGCAAGGAAAACACAGGACCCAGCAAATTGGACAGCCGCCATCAGTACTAGTTTTGGCAGAAAGCATTAAAAAAAAAACACTATAAGTAATTTAGTGCAGTGCATTAAGGTTAAAAAAAAAAAAAATCACACTATAAGTAATTTAGTGCCCCGAGTCCCTTACTCACCACTTCAACTAGCTAGGCTCTAACATTTAGAGTCAGGAAAAATGCAATATAGTCCACCTAAAACGACCACCAGGAGTTACTCCAGGATTACTCCAGTGCTGCTGAAGGTAGAATCCAGCCCAAAGGAACTGCAGCAAGAACACATTTAACCAGTCTCTTAAAATACACCTACTTTTTATAGCCACGTCTGAGCAGCATGGAACATACGCTAGCGGAGATGCGACTGTTTAAACAGAAATGGGCAAAGGCAAAAGGGAACTGAACAAGAAGTAAAATCAGCCCCAGCATGCAAAAGCTGGAGCAAACCCACGGGCTCTGTGCGGATTGCAGCTCTGCTGGAAGCGATGCCCTGGCAGCTCGGGAGGCTGCGTGGCCAGGAGGCACCCAGCCAGCCCCGGTTCACAGTCAGAGGGGATCGGGTCCGGGGAGCCTGCTCTGGCCAAAAAAAAACCAAAACAAAAAACCACAAAACAAAAAAAAAACCACTATCTGCAGCAACAGAGGAGAACCTGTATCCACAGAGTGGTTTTTCAGCAGAGCACTGCACTTTTCAGGCTATTTAGCAGCAGTATCTGAGCTAGCTTTCTCAGACCCAGCCTGGGGTAACTCCTGGCACTGCCTGGCACTCAGCACAGGATCTGTTTTATTTCACTCTGTACCACAGAAACTAAGCAAATTAACCCAAACTGGTTATGTTCCCTTCCTCTCTCCAGGAAGAGAAGTATGTGTGCAGCCAGAGTCCCCGCAGCAGGTATTTACCCACGTCCTTGTCAGAGAGATGTTGGAGATGTAGCTAACCCTCACTTTCAAGCTGTGGTTTACCATGAGTTGCCGCTGGGACCAGACAAGCTTTGGGGGCTAAATTTAGGCAGAAAAAAAATGCATATTTTTGTGTTTTCTCCTGCTTTGTGAGGAGACCAGCCAGAAGCAGGATTAGCATTCCTCGGAGAGCAGCAGCAAAGCAGGTTATAACTAGACACCGCTCCACTTGCAGTGCCTCACCCATGAGCCTCAGCCCAGATCTCTCCTGTGGCCGCAGTAAAAATGCCTGCCTGTGAAGTGCAGGGCAATGGAAAGCACAGCAAGCACAGGCACATTGTGCTTCTCATCTGTGGTCCGCCTCCTGGGAGCACCAGCACCTCGATGTCCACCCCAGCCCTTTGACTGCTTCATTTGACTTTTGCCTGCTTTAGCTGAAGGAAAGTTCATGTCAACAGACTGGTCCTCGCCCATCCCACCTCTGCCTGCTGGCTGAACGGGGTCTGGCAGCCTCAAGGCTTTCCTCCTGGTGAAGCCCGCGGGACACACAGGGACACCGACCCCGGCAATACCATGGGATACCGTGGACACCCTCCACGTCCTCCCCATGAGAGCACTGTCTGCAGCCAGGCAGCGCGAATGCACAGCTAAACACAACAGCCATGAAAAGCTGCAACAAATGAGCGAATGAGCTAAAGAAGCAATTCCAAAGTCGGGACTGTGGACAACAGATCAAAGAAAAGACATCGGCATCGCCAGAAGCACTGTAATGGGGGAACGGGCACAGAAAATGTAACCACATTGTCTTTGCTGTTGACTTTCCCTTCGGCCGCTCTTGCCTGTACAAAAAGTGTCTATCAAACATCAAAACCTTCACTGCTGTTTCTTCTATGCTAACAGTATGTAGACATCTCTGATTAAAACTGAAACAAAAGTTGGCATCATTAACCTGAAATTCTAGCATCATTCTTTTTCTTGAAGTTATTTATAGTTGCAGTTAACTAGTTTAAGTTTTCCCACTACAATTAAAAAGAATAAATTTTCTCTTTATGGAGTCGTCTTTCATAGGATCTTTTAAGAAAGCATAAAATGAAAAACCAGTAGGTAAATGGGAAAACCAGCAGGGCCAGCCATGCCAGAGGAGGATTAAATGTGGAAGCTTTCA